TGATAAGGTGGCTGCTGTACCAAATCAATTTCAGATCGGCTTGAACTACTACACTGAATTATATTTCAGTTTCGTTGTAGGTTAGTGAGACGTTGGTACTCATGAGCCATGTCATTAAGCGTAAGCTTCGGATCTTGCTCCAAACGACTTAGTAGCCTTGTTCTAATATCAGTGAACTTACTCGACTGGAGGCTGCAGATGAGTATAAGGGCTTTGAACTGATCTTCCGACAAAGACTTCAACCGAAAGCGTTAGCATTCACGGTTGACGATGCCCGCATGCGTAAGAAAGTCAACAACTTCGTTCATAATTAGCTTCAAACATCGATATCGAGTATTAAACAGTGAAGAGTTATCGCCAAAATGTTGGCTTAAAGTCTGAACACTCTCAGAAAATGAACAATCTTGTGGGTTCAAAGGCAGGATCAAATTGCAGTACTTATCCAGCTCACTTGCGCCCAACTTTCGAAGTAGCAGCCGAACCTTCCAAGCATCATCTTGATTGGCGAAATCAAATTTAAATAAATCTTCATAACGCCGGAACCACATGTCAAAAGTAACATTTGCATCAGGACGATAATGAAATTCAGCTATGCTATTTGCGATGCCGTCGACCGATGGAGATGTGGTTGCATTAGATGAGCTGGGCTGTGTGGAAGGGGAAATCTTCATGTCTGTCAACATCTGCATCAGTTTCAGCTGCTGCTCATGTAATAATTCAAGCTTGGCATGATCCATATTTCCAAAACCACCGTCGCCACTGATACAGTTCGTCACTTAGTATGCTTGAGGCTATTACGAGTTTACTTCAGTCGATAAACGCGAACGAGACAATTACCATCGTCCAGGTAGGCTACCTTGAATCCGAGGCTGAAGTAAAAAGGCTTTGCAAGCGTAGAAATTATGTTCTACAAACACCCAGCAATCACAGTACAATCAAGCATACAACTCTCGTTTATTTATACAACATAGAAACGTCATTGAGACAGTTAAGAAAATAGCACACTAAAATACACAGCAGCCAATCACAGCCATGGATTTTCCTGGTGGGAATTGAAATCTCAAGGTTAACTGATCAGCCCATGCTGACAAACGTGAAAACCGAAGTATGGCATTTATCAAGCGAATTTCGGGGATCTAACATCCCCAACATAGCTTGCATGAAACTGATGAACATGACGTGCAACAATGGCGATAGTTATCACGTAGCATGGGTCATTACACCCCTATGGCGAGTGTCTATGTCTGATAGCTGTGGACTTCATAAAGCAAAAATCCTAACTGGATTGCTTCAGGAACCTGAATCCTGGAGAACGATCCCCACAGCTTTATTAGATGTTGCGAGAGTCAACAAAGATCTGTGAGGAAACAACTGGGAGGCCAAAATAAGCGCATAATAATGGCAGTTGACCTTGATCAACAATCGATGGCATATGATACGAAGATTATGTTCCCGAACGTTAAATGCATTACACAAGCTAAAAGGCTGCAGCGGCCGGTTGCTTTCAAACCGACCAACTCCTTTTGAATAACTTGTTTTGAAATTCGACCATGGTTGTTCTATAGTAATGTAAGAGTACTAAGGAGTAAACTGTTAGAGATTAGGAATATGTGCTGTCACTGGATCTGAAGATCACAATTTGAACTGAAACATAGCTATCCTCTGATATCTCAGACGACGAAGTGAGCTCGCAAGGCATGGAAATCTCCCGGTACGGTTGGTTACACTAGACAGGAGTCGGAGTGACTACATACGTAAACAGCCTTTTCGAAGCCGAAAGACTACATGTCAACTAACTAAGCGATGTGACAGAATCTTATTGGTGTTGCTTAGAGACAATGGTACAACATACTTCATTGGAGGAATTTACCGTCTTCCTCGAGTGCTAAGGACCAGAAGGATAAATTCACTGTGGTGATGCTGCAACTGCTACTCCTTAGGTTTGATTAGATGCTGTCAGCTAAAGATTTCAACACTTCAATAAATCTCGGCAAACTCAGTCCAACTCTCACCGATCGGTTCCCAAGTCGACTTGGCGGACTGATTGACTGACTGATTGAATGAAAAATCCACAAACTTGGATTATTTATTGACAGATAATCAGTTCATTTTCTACGATGTTTACGTCCGTACACCAATAAAAACTAGTGACGCTGGAGCAGTCATGCTTAACATGATCATAAACGGAACACTCATTTGGGAAAAAAGGGCCCTACATTTGCTACACTAAGGCAAGCCACACGTGCTTGAGCGAGCATCTCCAAAACCCCCCATGGTCCGAGGAAAGTGAATGCCAATAGTAGGTGACCACTAGATATGAGTGAGAGACATCATCCTGAATGCTATCCTTCACAATGTACCGCAGAAAATCACACATCAAGAGGCGGAAGAACTTGGATTAAGTAAGGCATTTCACGCTTGCGACAGGCGAAATGGAAAGCCTGGCAAAGGTGGAAAGTCTCATCGTAGGATTACGACCGTAGTTCATACACTGCATTGGGAAATAAGTGCATTGCCTAGGTTCAAAATGATAGGAGACACTTCAAAACAAATCTGACAAACCCAAAACCTCTGTTCAGGTTCATGACTAAACGAAAACCTATGAACCAGGATATGTGTGTACCGAAAGGTCCAAGAAGTAAGAGAAAACCAAAATCCTTGAACACAGGGATGTAACCAGGATGTGATAATACTGACCCTTTAGTCTTGAAAAAGTTTACAGAATCTCCAAATTTACTGGTAAATGACCTGTCTAGGCATACCCTGGAGTCACATCAACATCCAGCCGAATGGAAATAAGCGACTCTTTCTCTCCAATCTTTGGAATAGGAGATGGTAAGGGTCCAGCCTGTAACAGGCCAGGCGCATCACCACCAGCACTGATGGAAGAACTTTTGAGTGAGCAAATGATGAAATACATGATCAATATCCTCCATGAAGGTTTTTAAAAGACTGGTAGTGTGAATCCTCATAACATGGGACAGCTGGACAACCTGCTGGAATCGACACATACTGGTTCAGTTAATATTTCTTGACCTCGGAAGAGTTTTCGACACAGTACTAAACCTGATCCTAATTGCGGAGTTTTCGAAAACGGAATTCACTGATCCACTTCTGCCTTTGCTCACAAACTACCCTGATAACGGAAAGTTCCGTAGAAGATTAATAGAGTGCATAAGACCTAGCGAGTCTCAATATCAGGAGTTTCACAGGGAACCATCTTAGTTTAACTCCTCTTTCGTTATTAATTACTGACTTGTTAGATCAAATTAGCTTAGCGGCAATAATGTACGCAGACCACGAAAAGATCTAGAGGTTCATAAGAGGCGAAGAGGATTCAAGTGATCTTCGAATGGATATTGCATCTTTGAGGAGTATTTAGTGAATGAATCAAGATACCAGATTGACTATGATCACCACTAAATGTTCAATACGGTCCCGTCATCCATATCAAAACAAATCCATGTTCCAAGGTTTTATTGAAGGAGAAATTAGGCATTACATCTGGAACAGCAAATAAAGAAAAATGGCAGAAACGCGAAGAGAACGTTGCACGCAAGAAGTGGAAGGAGTGTTTTTGGTACAGTTAAATAAGACGAGTACAATAATGTTTATTTTTCACAAGCCGTAGTTTCTTCGTTGGAGAATTTCACTACAAGTACGCAGTAAAGAGTTAGAATCACATGTGATCTAGTAATGATATGCAACATATCAAGTACCTTGAATAATTCCAACACGAACATCTTGCTGATGCATCACTATCATATTCCTCGAGGTAACCCTCGAATAATTGCACATGAAAGGGCGAACAGCTCGGTTCGTACGAAGCTGTTCTTACAAAGAGCTGTATTAACCAGCAGTGAATGATGCATGTGTCTCAAGTTGCTAATTGTTATCATCATCATCATTTTTTCGGACCATTAATTTACTAATCCTCACCTTCTATCTCCGTTCACTCTTCTTTGCTGATATTTCTGTCCCCTCACATAATCTACACTATCAGTTTATTTGCTTATATAACTAATTAAATAGTTTTGAAGTTTTCCTCCTCTCATGAGCATTAGAATTTAGTCCTTATCATTCTTCATAATATGATTAATTGATCTGGAACCGTACCAAAAGATCAAGAATCCAGAGCAAGGAAATCAGTTGGTTTATACTAGCTCGTGAAAAAAAATATTGGATATTGGATCTCCGGCCTAGTTTTGTGATAGCTGCTGGTATCCCGAAATCCTGTTACGCTAAAACGAACTCATACATTGAAATCACGGGGCCTACAAGTTTTTAAGTTACTGCCAGTTGGCTTGAACTAGCGCAGTCGAGTGGTTTATACTAGCCAATGAAAAAGATATTGGATATCGGATTGTTGTTTTTTCGTGATACCGTCACAAACACTGGTTGTAAGCGGCGAACGAAAATGAATCTTATGAACCTCCCATAGTCTATGAAGTTGTGGTTGTAGGCTTGCGAAAGAAAGTATTCCTAAGGTTTTGTATCTTAATTGAACTTTCGGATGCGATTACATCCACTTTAGACAGTGCAGACTCTCCATATTTGTGATGGTTTCAGCTCTCCTACGTAACACGCATTTCTGAAAGATAACATTTCATAGTTCATGACTATCATTGTACACGCTGACACTGAACCCGATTGCTCAATCTAGGAGATAGTGTTATCTGTTTTGTGTTAACTGTAGTAGTGAAGATTGGGGAAATACGTTCGAAGACTCCAAAACAGCTTGGATTTTGAGGGAATCTCTTCAAAATCCTGTGAGGATATTCTCATGTAAAACCTAGACTTGATTCAAATTCGGGAGATTTAGATGCTGTTACCTAGGAGCACTAGAATTCATGTAATCGAACTATCACGGTCCTCGTCCTATTTTCCAGGATTTTAGTTACTCTGAGGTCGTTGTATTCGGGGTTCAGTCACTGAACTATAGGGTGAAGTCTAATGGTTTTAGCTAACCGGTTAGTTTTAGATGCTGATTTGTTGGCCGACGCAAATTGGATTGCTTTCGAATCCTGTGCTTTTGTACGTTCTCAACTTTAATCGTTAACACCTTTCCACCTGGTTGACGGGATTTCAGTTATTTTCTCTATCCATCAGGAAAACTATTTGTGTCTTATATAACTATTAAAAGCCAAATTCTCTGACTGAGTCTAATTTCGTCAGTGTTTTTGCGTAATCCATTTGCTACGGGATGTCGACGATCGCGTTCAGTGGTTGTGACTCGCCACTAGTAATATTGGCTAACCTTCCCGTCTCACCCATGTATTTACGAACGTGTCTGTCCAGTGGTCATTTTTATTTAAGCTTCACAGTTGGGCTTAATGACTTATAATGTTACTCACCATGTCTTTGACATTCGTTTTGTGGCTGCTACATACACACTTGCTGTTTGACTGCGTCTGTCGTAAACAGTCATTGAAAGGTCTATATACGTGCTTGATGCAACAATCTCACATATATCACACTGTATACGACATGTGACGAGATCAATACCCAGTTTGTTTGCAAGTTATTTTTTTAGTGATTATCATCAACTGTATGAGACACTAATAAAAAGTTAACCGAAATGTAACTTAAAACTAGTGACTAACCGGGGTAAACAACGAGTTTACACAAGTCTGTTACACGTACAAAAGCTGGATCTTATCTTGAAAAACATCGTCAAGTGGTTAGCCAAAACAAACTCAGAAAATAAAAGTCATTATCTGAACTTCAAGTTCGGATTAGTGTATTTAGATCGAAAAATGGAGTTTTTTTCTACATGAACTCGGCAACTACTTGAGGAATATTGTTTTTGTAACTACATAAACAGAAATTCCAACTGGATAGGCTTTTAAAATGTTGGGCTAAACTTTTTGTAAGAGGGCTTCATGTCTTTATTGCAATTATACTTTAGTCCGTGCAACTTCTCAAGAGCTTCTTTAAGGGGAATCTTAGCCTAATTATGGACTATAAACAGTATTTCATTTCAAACCATTTTCTATTTGCTTTACGTATTCAAGTCTTTTACTGGAGTTTTCGGTGGTCCATCACTACTGCACACCGGAGCTTGTCAAGTGAATGCCTCATCTATTCTGTCTAGAACCATTCAGGCTATGTAAAGCTGACTTCGTTGAAATCCGACAGGCTGTTTTCAAGTGCTTTGCTGTGAGGAATTTAATACCTCGCTAGTTCATAATAGTCCCTTCAACTTCAGTCACAATAAATAAATGGACTTAATATTTATCTTCTTTTGATGACATGGATTGTTTATTACGTACTTACTTATTACACCTTACTATGACACTTCCATCCTTTAATCAAGGTCGAAAATTGAAACTTATGTTACACCAGTTGATTGCTTCATATCATCTGTATACTGTTAAGTACTGCAAGAAGTTTTTTATGATGTAGAACCTACAAGTTCGTTTAATGGATCTTCATATGAATCGCAAACTGATATTAACTAGAACATTATCAAAAGCAACGAAGCATTTGTCTCAGTATGGGACTTCTTAGCAGTGAGCATCTACGACTCCACCACAGGAAGCGGAACTGATGGCCTTAAGTTCTGCTCTCGAACACTTAACTTTTACACTGGCTCAACCTCCAGTAGTGTGTATTCAATCGATTAATTTCTATTGCATGTCTCAAGTCACATATGGTTATGGTCCACTGGCCATGGCTTCTCACTAAAACTAAAGGAGGTGCATGTTACAGCTGTCTACTAGTGTGCATCTTAATATTATTAGTATTAGATTTTGTAGTTAGACCTACAAAATGATCTTAGCCCGAACGCCAACTTCATTCACCAATTTATTTTCTTACTCTGTCTTTTCAAACTTTGAATTTGTAGAAAGTTCACGAAACTTCGATCTTCGCAACCAATAGCATAATACTGCTTTCTCTAATTTGATGTTAGACCAACATTTGAACACTTATCTATTGATTAGGGATAGTCTGTAGCACATCATTTCCAAAGTATGCACTTAATAATACAAATGCATGTGGTATTAAAAACTTGGTTTTCGCTCATTTTTTTGGAGAATATCCTTTTATTATGAATAAATAAAGTGGTTCTAATAATACATATGACTAAGTGTTTGTTCTGTGAGAAATATGGAATATTGTGTGAGCATAAAAATATGGTAGGGGCTCAAAATAAAAATATACTCGTTGTTGAATACTCTTTATGAAGATTTAATGCTACCGAGATGATTCGTTATTACTAATAAATGAAATGTATGTGACTTTGTTCGTTTCAGCTTCTACACAATATTAGATGACAGATGCGACCTTACAGTCAATGGGTTTTATATGCATTTGCTACTCGTCCGTTGTTGAATGAAGATAGGACCGCTCCAAATTCCAGCCAGCACCAAACCCAACTTGGGCAGTAACTGCTCTATTAGTAATATAGAATTTGCAGGGTAATTAAATTACAATTACCAACCAGATTTTGATGATTATCATTCAATCAAGGTAGCATTGGTTAGAAATAGTCGACAGGGGAAATCCTGTTAAACCTAGGTCTCGTTGAACCCAGTATTTGTCAGCTAAATGGTGCGCTCTAGTGGATTCGACTGCGTGTCACCCAGACTCTCAGTTAGAGACGTTACCACTCAGTCACGACTCACTTCTAATAATACCGCCTGAAGCTCCTCTAGGGCTACTGCCGTTTGTAAGCCCAGATAAAGGGGGGAGGTTGGGGTTAGCGACTTCATCCCATAAAATAGTAACTCGTTAAAAAACGCTGACTAGAAAACGTAATTCTTAAAGATACTTAAAACTGGTAAGTTACTGAACAGTGACTGATGTTATTTCAAGGACTGGTTATACCTGACATCGGTCACTACTCATTGACCGATCAGTTGTAAATGTGATTCAGCTGCTTTTAATATATCAGTACAGCATTGCTTTCTGTATCTTCATCTCATAATCACTGTGTTCATTTTTTACACTTTTCTCTATTAAAATTCAGTGTTAATCCTGGGTTCATATATAAGATAATGAAAAATTATCACTTTTAAAACGTAAAATGTCGCACATTCCGTCAATAGATTACGTCAACAATGCTGTTTGGAATATTCAGCCGGTCTTTGATAAGTCGTCTTCACACGACCCTTCTACATCACATTCCGAAAGTTACGTCGTTATTCCACAGAGCAAGCTAGATTCTTCTATCCGACTGATACATTCTGTAAGTATAGTCTTTCTATACACTCTGCATAATTTGTATATACGATGTTCCAGTGAGAGATGCCGATGATTAGTACCTTTTCTAAAATTTGTGTTTGATTGATACGTGTGTGATATTCATTTAAGTGAATTATGCTGAATATTTATTATTGATATTTAAAATTTTTAGGTTGCCTGGGGTCGTCAGTGCTTTAGGTTGGTAATCTGTGCATTAGACAGTATTTCGAAATGCCTCAATACTTTGTGGTTTCAGTGTAATACTGTACACAAAATACAAGCGAATCTAGTTACTTATGTATTTTGATTTACAAAGAGTAATTAAGTGTGATTCGCCATGGTTTACTGGTTGATTGGAGGCTTTTAGTGACAGCTCAGAATCGTTGCAATGGTACAGAGGCATTCAACCCTTATCTTCTTTTAAAACCTGGGTCCGGAAACGTGCTTGTATCGAACCATGAATACGGCCTAAGTTTTTAACTCAGTCTTCTCCTTACGTAATTTCTACTAAGGTAACTGTTTGTTGTTTGGCTTTCATATCTTTTGTTAGCATTTGAACAACTATCCTCAGAGTTTAAATCCTGTTTAAAAATTTGATTTGTATGCTCGTTCTTTATTTGAAAATCTTGGTTATTTAGCGGTGAATTATTTGTTCAAACATAATTCAGTCACATTTTCGAATTAAGCTACACACATAGCCAGTCTAGTGGTTTCATAACCGAAGTGTGGTTACAAAGCTGAAAGCACAGTCATACGATTCGCAAAATGAATTAAGTTAAATCGATTAGCTTGTTAGTTGCTCAACGCTTAACAGCTAGGCTAATTGTAAATTTAACTGTCGTAGATATTTTATCTATGTACCGTTTTTTAGGAAAATTAATTAGTTTCCCAAAAAATCGTATATTATCCTCCATTGTGTCAATAATCTCCTGACTATTTTATATTAGCATAATATAAAAAACTTACTAACCCGTCAATTTTTTATTTAGGAATTTGAAGTGATGGGTTATTCTAAAGTTTTAAGAGTAGAAAATGGAGAGATTCGAATCATTATGAATAATTTAATCGATGGTGTCTTAAAGTTGATTACATCTTATCATAAAAGTTTAAATAGTCGTGAAGAAACTGAATTGAGGTGAGCTCAATTTTATTCCTTTATTACAGTTCTCCATATTAACTTTGTTAAGTGAATATTCAGGTATAACTTAGTGATTTGAATATACTGGTGATTATTTATTATTTCAGTACATAAACAACGTAGTGAGATGCTGTCCCATGATAGCCGGTGACAAACAATAGGTTCATACGTCATTCATTTCGTTAGGTACCTGGGGCCGATATGCATCATTCGCTTGGAATCAGGGTTTTCCAACTCCCGTAAGTGGATGGCGTTGGCGACCCCATCCCGTAGAAAACTAATTCGCTAACAAAAAGCTAACCAGAAAACATAATCCAAAACGTTTAGACTCTGGGCCTGGGTGTTAGAAGGTCTTCGTTCAGAAGAGTTATGACGTCTCATGATTAAAGCCAAGTTCCTTCGGAAGTCACGAAGCCGATGCCCCTTCTGACAACCAGAGAAACCACCCTTTTAGGTATATGGAATGTTCGGACAATGTAGTAGATCGGAAGACTGTTCCGAATTGCAGCAGAGATGAAAAGATACAACCAGGAGTTGATTGGAGTCAGTGAAACACATTAGACACAGGTTGGACAACTAAGACTAGCTTCAGGAGCGATGCTGTCATACTCCGGCCATGAAGAAGAAAATGCCTCACAAACACAAGGAGTTGCGCTGGTGCCGTCCAAACAAGCACAAAAGGCACTGCTAGAATGAGAATCTCATGGACCCAGGACCGTCAAAACGTCCTTCGAAACATAGAAAGAGGGCAGTACAATGAAAATCATCCATTGTTATGCGCCTATCGACGATTACAATGAAGACGCTAGAGATCACTTCTACGAGAGGCTTCAGTCAATCGTCGAAAAATGCCCACCAAATGAGTTGACCGTGCTGATGGGAGACCTAAATGCAAAGGCTGGCATAGACAACACCTGATATGAAGACATCATGGGACAACATGGACTGGGAGATACAAACGAAAATAGTGAGAGTTTTGCAAACCTATGTGGCTTCAAAAAACTGGTCGTCGGCGGCACAATATTTCCACATAAACCCATACGCAAAGCTGCGTAGGTTTCACCGGAAAACACTACACAGAACCAAGTCGACCATATCTGAATCAATAAAAAACCCAGAAGGACCATGGAGGACGTGAGAACCAAGAAAGGAGCTGATATAGCCTCAGATCATCACTTGCTAGTCTCAAAAATGAAACTGAAACTCAAGAAGCATTGGTAACTGGGCGGACAACATCACTAAAGTTTATTACGGCTTTTCTTCGAGATACTGACAAACACAATGAATTCAAGATAGCTCTCAACAATTAGTTCCAGGCTTTTCACGACTTACACAACGGAGCGGCAACTACCATGGAGAACAATCGGAAAAGAATCAAGGAGGCAATCACTCTAACATATCATGAATCTCTGGGCCACAAGAGGCACTCTCACAAGGAATGGATATGTTGATACTCTGGAGATGATTCAAGAAAGCAGTTGGTGAGCCTAACGCACTCGCCACACAAGTGAGCCACCACAGAGTAACAAGAAGGCTGCAATCAACATCAGCCGAACAAGAGCAGAGAAAGTCAAGTCACATGCCGAATATATACAAGCAAACAAGCAAGTGAAGAGGAGAATCAGAGCTGACAAACGTAAATATTTAGAAGATTTAGCAATGACGGCGGAATAGGCTGCAAGAGAAGTAAAGATGAGACAATTGTACGATACAACAAAAAAGCGTGCTGGAAACTCGTAATCCAGAACGACCAGTGAAAAAAAAGGAAGGCGAAGTAATCAGTAACATTGAACAGAAGCGAAACACGTTGGTAGAACACTTTAAGGGACTCTTGAATCAACGAACCCCAACGACACACCCAAAATCGAAGCAGCATCCACAGACATCCCAATCGATGTTGGCCCACCAACAATTGAAGAGATCGCTATGGCCATCAGACAAATCAAGAGTAGCAAAGCAGCGGGACCAGACAACATTCCAGCAGAGGCAAACAAAGCAGGCTTGGCATCAACAGCGAAGTTACTCCACATTGGCTTCAACAAGATTTGGGATGAAGAACAAGTACCGACAGACTGGAAAGAAGAACGCCTCATCAAGATACCAAAGAGATCAGAATACAGTTAGTTATTCACAAGAGATTCTGAAAGGATAAAGCTTTTAGAGCTCTTGTTTTGACAGAGATCAACTATATATTAAGTGTCTAACGACCAGTGTAGCAGCACCAGGTCTCAACATACACAAAAGGAAATGCAAGATTCTCTCGTGTAACTCAACATGCAACATCAAACAGAAAAGTCAGAATTTTCAGTTCCAATTTCAAGACAGTTCTACTGTATAGGGCGGAAACTTGAAGAACTACGAAAACCATCGTCCAGAAGATACAAGTGTTTATTAACAGTTGTTGTTACACATGCACGTAAAGACGTCAATTCGATATGCTTGAACTGTTACGAGTTTACCTTAGTCGGAATACGAGAGCGAGGATCGGGCGACACGACATGCTACTCTAATCCGAGTGTCCCAACCCCCCATTGAATAAAAGAACAAAATTTGATACGAAGTAGAACCTGTATTCTACAAGCATTCAGAAACTATGAGGTCCAAGTCCAGAAGAGAATCAGGATCCCGGACAAAGTATCCGGGTTAGGGTCATAAAACGTTGCAGATAATGCGTATTTTTACAGTTAGGTCGAATAGGAAATAACATTGAAGTCTGTGACAATGACAGTTAGGACGACCAATAAGAGACAACATTGAAGTACTTGAGATTGATTGCTAGGACGACCAATAGAATTAGACTTCCAAAAATAGTTCTCTTAGGATTTTTGATGAATATCTTAACAATTGTCTACGCCAAATACTTCGGATCCGCTGACGAGACACTGTCAGCAACAACCTAGTGTAGCGGGGAACGAACGAGATTCCTCCATCTGAGGATGAAATCAAGAAAACGTGTTTGAGCTGGATAGGACACATATTCATGAAAGCATCCAAGATGAGCCCTCATTTGGAATCTTCAAGGCCAAAGGAGAAGAGGAAAACCAAGGAACGCATTACGCTCAGAAATGAGAAAAATGAACAAAAGTTGGACAGTAGTGTGAAGGAATGCCGAGGATAGAATAGGTTGGGAAATACTGGTCGGCTGCCTATGCTCTATAGGGGGTAACACGCCTGTATAAATGAGAAAGTATATCATACTGTTATGTAATTTTCATTTGATTTTTCATTTCAAAAGCTGTTCCCAGGTGTGACAATTTTAGCAGTTATGCATTCTAATTCAGATGTAAATTAAACTGAATTTTCACACTTTCTACTGGTGCAACACGAGGTATATTAAACAAGTGAATGTACTGTTATCAGTAGGAGTGAAAGGAACAGAGAAGGTATATTTCTAAGAGAAAGAATTATATTGTTTAATGGGAAGCACTAAGCACTTTTAAATTAATATAAAGAAAATGAATCAATTTCTGTTATCAATTTTAAAGCATGTCATTGAAGACTTTTAGATCATGACCAAATGACAACCTCTGACGAGAAAGCTATTCAGCCTTCAATGCACTTATTTTATGACTTGGTATAGAAACCATTGTTATTTTTTTCAAATCTTTTATGTTGACTAGCACAAGATGCTGTAGTGTAATCAGTATTTGAGCATATGTGACACATCATTACTCTACGTCCAATATCAGCATTTACCACCCCATTGTATGTGATCCATGTTTCTAAGATATCTACAATTGAATACTAACAAATTTCTCATGTCTTCTACTATCATTGACCATTTACCAACGTCATAAAATAATTCAGAGCTAACTCGTTTGCATTATACTTGCCTTTTGTGAAAAAGAAAGATACCTGGCCACCTGAAAATCGCATCTATTGTCTTCAAAGAAAGACCAAACATTCATTTACCAATTTTATATCCGTTTGCTAAAATATACATTTCTTTCTTTCCCCAATTCATTTTTTTGTTTTGAAACTAGTTTTAACCGTGTACAATCAGATTTAACTCAAGTGCAAAAACTTTATCGAAGATGTCAACAAAATTTGGAAGAAACGCAAAGATCGAACGAATTAATAAAAGAAAGAGAAAAACAAGCCTTAAATGAAACAAAGCTACTTAATGATCGTTTAAAATCTACCTCTAATGAAGTAAGCTTTTTACGAATGAAAATTCTCGTTTATAACCACAATTATAGATTGTTCTCGGTAAATCAGTCAGTCAGTCAGTCAGTCACTTGCAACGTAGAACTCCGTACGTAAGTACATCAGTTCATGTTGCCATGCCACATGAGCACTGAGACGCAATTGTTAATTCAAATCCCATAGTGGTAGAGATAGTAGAAGAATTACTGCTAATGGAGAAGATTAGGATTTGAAGATCATATTCAAGAAGTATTATTCAGTGTGATAAGTTTAGAAAGACAAAGGTAGAGGTGTTGACGAATCGAGAAGATTAGGACTTGAAGGAATACACCTGCGCCATTGCAAACGATTTTGAGTCATGTCATTCAAGGTCTCTAACCGTCGGTGACTTTCGTCTCGCTGACCCTAACCAGGTTACCTACACTTACCAACATGCCTCAGTCCAGTTGTCAGTGGCGTCATGGATTCGTGCCATGCTTTTGATTGGCCGCCTCTAGCTTCCTTACTGCAGCACAGAACATAGCTTGACGAGGCAGTCGGTGGTCAGCCATACGTAACCCTTTCCAAACCACCTCAACTGATGAAGTTTCAATACTTCATCAATTAATCTGCCATCTTTACCTACTACGTGTTTCCTAACAACTGCATCGCTCTCAGGATATACGAGCAATGCCTCGAAGACACCTATGATCGAGAACTATTAACGTATGAATATACTCTATTCTGAGTGGCCATGTTTCGCATCCATATTGTAGGACACAGCAAAATAATGCTCAGTAGACTCGTCTTTTGGTTAGCAGACGGATTTCTTGCCTACTCCATAAGTGAGACTAGTTGACAAAAGCCAGTCGAGCCTTTGGTATCTGTACCGAGATTTCGTCAGTCACCAGAATCCCAAGATAACTGAAACGATCGATTCGCTCAACTACTTCACTAGTTGAGGTGCCGATGCAACCCAATCGTGAAGCATCATTTTGCATTTCAAGGGGAAGAATTGCATCCCGAACGTGCTTGCGTTGTTGCTGAGGGTGGTCGGAAGACTGCATTTTGTTAGTGTCTTCACCAAGTTAAACTATGTTATCGGCATATGCTAAGTCAACATGCGAGTCTCCTGGTAGAAGGTCAATCCCTAAAAATTCAGAAAGGGTGTTTCTTGATAAACCTGAAGAAGAAAGTAGATTAGCGTTGGTCTTAGAGACCTGGGAGCGTGACCGTAGAGCCCAAGGGACAACTGCTTGAGGCCGGTCACACACGGTGTTTTATGAGAAGTTTTTGAAGTTTTATCTCTGCTCTTGTTTAGAAGCCCTTACCGCCGGAGACGGAAGTCCGTGAGTTAAGGCGAGATGTGACATTTTTAGGGTTGACCTTTTCTAAATCCTTCCAGCCAATATATCTCGTTTAAGTCACCACGATAGGCTAGGTAGCAGCTACGATCGGGTGGGAAAACCAGCAACTGGTTTTCCACTGTCTAATTCAATTATAACATTCGTATTTTATTGGTAAACCTAACATTTACATTTCTCACAAATACAAGGGAAGGTTAAGTAATGAATATTGGAATGCTAAAACTATATTGTACCCGTATATCAACCGGCTAATTTCCAGTGAAATTGTATTCTTTTCATCAGTGTAATAACCGAACGTCTGTAATAAAAGAAATTATTTCAAATGTGTGAAAATTATTTGTTCATAATTAGTGTGACCGTCCATTAACTCTGATGTAACAGGATGTTTTGTAGTACAGGAACTTCAGTAGTTCAGGAGTAATAACCTGCTAGTTCTTAGACAGGTAAATAATTTATGAAAGGATACAAAAGTGTTACTATGTGTACTGTCAACAAGAGGGATAGTTTATCTGCTTTCATAATTTTCTGGTTATTTCCAAGATCCAATTAGATACCTGTCATTTCTTTGTGTATAGCTTCGTAAGATTCAATCAAATTTCCAACGACATGAAGTTCAGTTTTTACACGAACGTCGTAAGTTAGAGAAAGAAGCAACAGATCTTCGGAAACGCTTAGCCACTTTAATTGACAAAGCTACTCCCAACTGGAATAAAGGACAAAAAACAAATAGACCATCTTGCTCGCCGACGGGTTTATCAATGTCACAATGGTCTTTATCATCAGAAGTTGATAAAAAACCTGAATTACAAAATAGAGAACCATCCAGTTCCCGAAGATTCGGAGTTTCAGTCCGAACAAATTCTGGTTTAGTTAGTGCTAAATTTGAATCAAGTGCCCCAGTCAATAATGATAACCTTAATTCGCACATCAAAGATGATTTGGATTCCCAAGCTTCCAAGGTAAGCAATATTTTGTATAAAAGAATTAAAACTCTTTTTTATGTTCAGCCAATGCTTAATAGTTTAAAGAGTTCGCTTCATACTTGAGATACTTACCCTCTCAGTTTTGAGATAATTCAGCCACAGATGTAGAAATCGAAAATATTGTATATCAATAAGAAGAATAATCATCTAATGTTTTGAAAAAAATAACATTCATTCGGTAAGTTTTCGACGAAATATTATTTTTCTTTTGATTCCGATCTATCCTTTTGTGAAGTTTAGGACGCTATTGCTCGTTTGGTCATTTTCTAGCTTGTCAATCAATTTTAAAATGCATACAAATTTTAGATAACTTTCAATTTTTAAATAAAGGTTATGCTCAGTATTTAAACAGAGATTTGACCTGATGACTTGAATTCCTAATTTATAAACTTTGTGTTATGGTTTCAGATCAATCTGGCATTTTTGTGTGGAATCTATGTCCTTTGAACAATAGAAGTCCTACAAAGTCTAGTCCATAAACTCATTCGCGTTTAATTGATAATATTTGCTTCAATTTCTTTTTTATCATTCTTTCAAGATTACTGGTATGTGCTAATAACCGTACTGCAATGCGAGGTTCATCTTGTATGTGATTTTCTGATGAGTTGTTATACTGCTGAATTGATATACGTGTCTTTATGTTTGGCAACTGATTCAGATGACTTGTAGCTCTCACCATAAGATTAATTGTTAAAACATTTTCACCTATAGTTAAACTATTCAGCGATATTTTTAAATATTCCGTACTTTTATTTATAGGCTGATTTATCTTCATTAATAGTTCAACAACTGGAAAGTCGTCAAAATGACTTACTTTACGAAAATCGTGAACTTCGAGATCTTGTCGGTCAACTCTCTTCAAGAATGATTCGATTCACTGATTTTCTCCAACGTCATTGTACTACATGGGTACAGAATAATGACAATGTAATTCATTCTAGTGAATTCGATGATGAGTTTTTTTCACTTGATGAAGAAGATGATGATGATGATGGGTATTTTAGACGAGAATCATCCGATGAAGATTATTCAACTATTCCTGTGCCGAAAGAAAATGGTCGTCGGAAATCAACATTTGTTAATAGTCTTTTATTAGAATTACCGTATGCATTAATTCGTGATGATCTTACCAGACGTGTACGTTATCTATCTCGATGTCTATGGTGTAAATTAAAATGTTTAGCCAAACACTATTTGAAAACAACAGCATTAACATCAGAGAAAGATGTAACAGAAAATGTTGTAAATTCAGAAACCTTTATTTTAGGTTAGTCTGTCGTATTTTTTATGATATTTGAAGTAGAATTTATTTTTTGCGTTTTTCCTTTCATTTTACACTAAAGAATCAAGAATTTAAGATTGGGTGGTGGTGACCTAGAGGTTCGAACAGACTCTCCATATGTTATCACATTGATCATGTTTTCATTTTATTTTAGAAGTTTTGTAGGAATGGTCAAATTTTATATTACACACCATAGAACGGCCTTGAACAATCTTTGAAAACCAAGGAGCATCGAAAAACTTTTTTTTAGTTTTAGAACTCTTGAACAGTGAGAACCTGCAACCATTCAAGGAATCGAACTCAGAACCTCCAGGTCTCTTGGTCAGTACTTTAGTTTTATACTACTGGGGATTTTAAGGTTTCATACTGGAACGAGGATTCTACGGTTTTCAAAGATTTTCTTACCAAGATTAACTTGTGATGTAAACTATGCTACTGGCAAATAACGATACCCTAAAACTTATTTCTATCGAACAGAACATTTCTTTCAAATTAACTATTCCTATTTTACATTGGTATTACAATATTTATGCATTAATAATTCTCAAGTCTAAGAATTCAATTGTCAGATTTCAATGTCATAGTCTGAGTTTATTCATCAGGATTGTTTGCCTGTTTACTGGCTGTAATAATTCACTTTGATACAATAAGCATGACTCACTTGTACAGCGTTATTATTTAGTGAACATAAGTCTTTCATTATTTTCTTAATTTTTATATACTGCAGTTACTCATTCATTGATTGTTTTGTTTGTTTTCTGTTATACTGCGTACTTAACTTTCACCTTGTTTTATATATGCTCTAGACCATCCAACATCTGGTAACGGAGATAATGAAAATTCATTTAATGAAAATAACCAAGTGGAATTATTAAAAAGTCAACTAGCTGAAGCGAAATCTTCTTTGGCTAATTGCAAGTCTGTATTAAAAGAAAAAGAGTTGATCATAGAGGTTTGTTATTGTAATAATGTTCGCAACAAGTGACTATTTCCTTCTATGATACTAGATCTGTAGAAACCTGTCTAATTTAAAGATAATTTGACGAGACCATAACTTATGGACGATCTTTGAGCAATAGTCAAGGGACGTTGAGAAACTTTAACCATTTATAAGAGTCAGTATAGAGTTATCATTTAATATGAGGAATCAGGATTATAAGCTACGGTTTGGAATTAAAGTTAGGGTGTTCTTCGCGAACCCTTAAAGCTATTATACCAAAATGTTATTTAGCCATACTGATGAATGAATTTCGTGTCAATATCCAATATTTGTGACCGTAAATCTAACAGGTTTGTTCATAAACTATGGTTCCGCCGATAGTTATATCACCAATTGACATTTGCTATGCAGCTGTGTCAACAATGAATCCTTCAGTCAACCGTCAATGAATGCCATTAGAGAATAGTCTCGGTTGAATTTAAAAATGCTAACCTAATGACCACATTGCAACCTGATTGGTAAGATATGACCAACACTTGAGGGACTAAACAAACACAACAGCAAGTATAACTTGGTAATCAATAGATTTTTTGATCTGTTCATGATTGTTATTGTTATTACTTCAATCTGGATCATTCTTGAAAAGTCTATAAAATAATGAAGTAATATTTGTAATCATAATGTACATTTGTCATTTAAAAGCTGGATACATGATCTCGTCATACGAGTAAAATTAATTCAACTGAATATGTATCGCTTTTAAGAATGAACTCGGTACATATTTCGTACAAATATAGAATCAGAACACATTGACTTACCCATATTTAATTAATCTGCACTAGTGGAGGAAGCAAGAAGGAGTTTCGTACATGAATTTTTTTTCGTAAACTCTTGTATCCCTGTACATTGTTATTCTGGATTCTTTGTGAATTACTTATTCGTCTTGATTACTTTGAATTTGAATCAAAGTGGATAAAATGTACTTGAACACGCAAGAATGTAATTTCACATATGATAGTTTAGTTAAAAGTCAAATTTTTAGATTAGTGAACATTATACAACCCAACTTGTTTGTGAAGAAATTATGTGATATTAGACATATGTTGGTGCCGTTTATCTACACAATTGAAGAATTCCAACAATCAATTGTAATTTTTTAGAAAAAAAAACCATGCAGTAAACTATCTTGCATCATTATTGTCAGCATGGCTTTGATTCTTCTCGTCATTGTTGTTTATTAGTTAGGATTCAAGATCTCTTTTTGTCACATTTCATTTCATATTATGCCTTTTATTGTTTGCGTATTAATCCATTTTCCTTTTTACTTAGCATATTTTATTTTCAAGTCATAATTTGGACAAATTAAAATATTTAAATTTGAGCAATTCAAATCCGGAACTTGGTGGTAAAACTGAAACTCCATTTGACAAACATAATATTCCGTTATTATTGAAAGAGTCCAGTATACAAATTACAGAAAGAAATCAAGTATGTAGGAATTGTTTTTTCGTCATATGAAAAATAATAAATTATACCTAGTGCTGATTTTACACTTTGGAAGTTTTTTTTCATTAAATAATTGAAAGGTTTGTTTGTGATCTATAAAGTCTCTGTCAAAACAAAAGCTCTAAAAGCGTTATCCTGCAAACAAGCCGTTGCAAACTTGTAATTGTGATAAGCGATTATTTTTCTCGTTTATTCTATACACAAATTGAAGTTAAACCCAGACTATCTTTATTCGAATACAAATCTCTCACTCATTTGATGAAATCAGCAGCCTGTAAGATTGTATCTGTTTTTTGATAATAAGCAAACGTTCTGCAGACTGACTTCTCTGGCTTCCTCTAGCCTCAGGCAAACTGCACACGACTATCGTTGCGCATAGTGATCGTGTAAAGTTTTTTTTACACAATCTCATGGTTAACTAACAACAGTCGAATATGCTCTATCTTCTGTCATCATATATTAAGGGGCAAATAAGAACTAATCATGTAATCCCAGGTGAATTCTATGTGTCAGTCAAGTCGCTCACTCCAGGTTTGGTGAATAACTTTACTAGCAGGTCATGCGCAAAAGAGATCCATTATTCGGGTTACTGGAATGTCAGTAAAATATGTTTTCCATTCAATTTAAAAAGCAGTTATATATATATAATTGAAACGGTATTGTAGCGTATCCAGAAATAACGATTGGTATATTTTGTCCAATCGGCAGTACAACATAGACGTCAGACTCTCCGATAGGGTATAAACTTGTTATCCTGTTCAGTTGTTCGGTTCAAATACAGAAATAACTACCCAATCTGCTACATGCGTAGTAAGAATCTAAATGACTGGGAAGTTGTAAGTAGCAATCAGAATATGACTACATATCTCATTGGTATATACGTATGCCTCTGTTCACCAGATGTAATAGCTAAAACCTTGACAAAGTTCACAATGAGCTACACCCGACCATGTTCTTTGTTTATCATCTCACCTTTTTCTTAACCCTTGAAACAGCATATCTCCCTAATATTGTATGCGATGCTGCGTTAGTAGTTAAATTGAATCAAATCATTTATTGTTTTCCAGTTTATTTTTATGCTGCTAATTTTTATATATACTTCATATTTCTCTCCTTGTATTTTTTCTGTTAAAAATATTTCAGCTGGACAGTACTTCTAATTCATCAGATAATTCACTCAATTCTCCAGGTAATTAGTGTCTAGTTTCTTCTAACAACTTACTGTATTTGACTGAAAGTAAATGAATTTTTATTTATGGAAATAAAGGTTGACATGTGAAGCGTATGTTGTTATCGTTGAGAAATAGAAGCAAGAACTATTGACCATTTTAACACCCCAGTTATATCTAAACTGTAATACAACTACAAGTACACTTCTTGAATAATATCTTCTAATCCTAATCTCTCCGTTTACTGCTAATACTTCTACTACCTCTACTACTATGGGATTTGAATCGAAAATGGTGTCTCTGTGCTAATGTGGTATGGCAACCTGAACTGATGTACGTACACACGAGGTTTTACGTTGTCACTGACTAATTGACAAGTATACTCAGCTGACGAGTCCTGAATAGGGCAAAACTCACGTTCTGGATTTCACTTCTAACCACATTCCATCTATTCAATACATTGGATAATATTCATTAGCACCGAAAAGTAAAATATTCTTGGAATATTGGTCAGTTTACCTAAGTTTTTAATTGCGTATCAAAACATTGAATTTTATTATGTCTCTTTCACTTTTTATTGTGAAATACTTATCTACATTTAAACTGTATTCTTCCTTGTATTCACACATTTTCATCAAGAATAAGACAGCTTATAATTAGCTACATACTCATTAAGTATGATGAATTCGGTATGATTTATTGATGTTCTTTAAGTATCGTTATACTTTTAGGTTTTTAAAAGTTACACATAATCCTTCACATTGATATTCCTTTGCTGGTTTGATTCTTTTGGAAAAAGATATTGACATTTTCACTCGAATAAAAAATTTTTGGTTTCGATGTATTTTGGCATTCGGTATTCCCAAACTAATAAGCTTACAGTATTTTGGTAAGATTGTGTTAAAGAATTCCCGTGGAAGTAACAATTAATTTAGAGTCTGTTACAGATGTGCGATGGTCCAAACTACCGTACCACATTGGGAAAACGAGACTAATTAGGAAGAAAAGTAGCAAACGGATTGAAATATTATAACAGCAACGATGTTGAAAAGTAGTCAACATTGTGATTAATATGGTCGAGAGATGGCGGTGGAATATGCATTACTGACTTATTCACGCCTCTTAACCCTAATAGAGCATAGACCACCGGTCAGTATTCTGCAGCCTACTCTGTCCTGCGCCTTTCCAGTTCTGTCCGATTTTTGTTCATTCTTCTCATGTCTTTTTCTATTTCTCGGCGTAGTGTGTTCATTGGCCCTCCTCTTTTCCTTTTACCTTGAGGGTTTCAAGAAAGGGCTTGTCTTGTGTAGCACTTGGGTGCTTTCCACAATGTGTATCCTATCCACTTCCAGCACTTCTCCCTGATTTCTTCCTCCACTGGAATCTTAGTTCTTCTATCCTACAGTAGCTTTTTGCTGATGTTGTCTGGCCAACGAATCCGAAATATTTTGCGTAGACAACCGTTAATAAACACTTGTATCTTCTGGACGATGGTTTTCGTAGTTCTTCAAGTTTCCGCCCTATACAGTAGAACTGTCTTGAAATTGGAACTGAAAATTCTGACTTTTCTGTTTGATGTTGCATGTTGAGTTACACGAGAGAATCTTGCATTTCCTTTTGTGTATGTTGAGACCTGGTGCTGCTACACTGGTCGTTAGACACTTAATATATAGTTGATCTCTGTCAAAACAAGAGCTCTAAAAGCTTTATCCTTTCAGAATCTCTTGTGAATAACTAACTGTGTTCTGATCTCTTTGGTATCTTGATGAGGCGTTCTTCTTTCCTGTCTGTCGGTACTTGTTCTTCATCCCAAATCTTGTTGAAGCCAATGTGGAGTAACTTCGCTGTTGATGCCAGGTCTGCTTTGTTTGCCCCTGCTGGAATGTTGTCTGGTCCCGCTGCTTTGCCACTCTTGATTTGTCTGATGGCCATAGCGATCTCTTCAATTGTTGGTGGGCCAACATCGATTGGGATGTCTGTGGATGCTGCTTCGATTTTGGGTGTGTCGTTGGGGTTCATTGATTCAAGAGTCCCTTAAAGTGTTCTACCAACGTGTTTCGCTTCTGTTCAATGTTGCTGATTACTTCGCCTTCCTTTCTTTTCACTGGTCGTTCTGGATTACGAGTTTCCAGCACGCTTTTTTGTTGTATCGTACAATTGTCTCATCTTTACTTCTCTTGCAGCCTATTCCACCGTCATTGCTAAATCTTCTAAATATTTACGTTTGTCAGATCTGATGCTCCTCTTCACTTGCTTGTTTGCTTGTATATATTCGGCATGTGACTTGACTTTCTCTGCTCTTGTTCGGCTGATGCTGATTGCAGCCTTCTTGTTACTCTGTGGTGGCTCACTTGTGTGGCGAGTGCGTTAGGCTCACCAACTGCTTTCTTGAATCATCTCCAGAGTATCAACATATCCATTCCTTGTGAGAGTGCCTCTTGTGGCCCAGAGATTCATGATATGTTAGAGTGATTGCCTCCTTGATTCTTTTCCGATTGTTCTCCATGGTAGTTGCCGCTCCGTTGTGTAAGTCGTGAAAAGCCTGGAACTAATTGTTGAGAGCTATCTTGAATTCATTGTGTTTGTCAGTATCTCGAAGAAAAGCCGTAATAAACTTTAGTGATGTTGTCCGCCCAGTTACCAGTGCTTCTTGAGTTTCAGTTTCATTTTTGAGACTAGCAAGTGATGATCTGAGGCTATATCAGCTCCTTTCTTGGTTCTCACGTCCTCCATGGTCCTTCTGGGTTTTTTATTGATTCAGATATGGTCGACTTGGTTCTGTGTAGTGTTTTCCGGTGAAATCTACGTAGCTTTGTGTATGGGTTTATGTGGAAATATTGTGCCGCCGACGACCAGTTTCCCGGCCATAGCTGCTATTTTGACGTGGCTTGCCTATCGTGATGACCCAACGAAGTGATATTGGCTGAATCTTATGTTCCTGAAGGTTCTACCATGCCAGGCAGGTCGTTCGGAGAACGATGAGGCTAAAAGCAGCTAATCAAGGTCTGAGGGCGAAATCGTACTGCTGACGGCAAAGAGGTGTGACAGCAGTAAGGTGTTTCCCTCGGACAGCCAGCATCTGCAGCGATGCTGTCTTCTGATGAGGAAGGAAGGGTTTAAAAAGGTCGACCCTAAAAATGTCACACCTCGCCTTACCTCACGGATTTCTGCCTCCGGAGGTAAGGGTGCCCACCAAGGGCTTTCAAGAGCTGAGCTATTACTCAAAAAACCCTTCATAATAAGGCCTTGCGTGACCGGCCTCAATTAGTTGTCCTTTGGGCTACGCGGTCACGCTCCCAGGTCGTTAATACCAACTCTAATCCACCTTCCTTTTGAGGTTCCTCAAGAAACACTCTTTCACGTTGTGGACGGCCGGGAAGTGACTACCTCCCTTATACGCGTAACAGCCGGAGAGACCAAATTGGTCAAAACCTTTCTACACCCACGCTGGCGAAACCCAAAGTCGTCTCAACGTTGCGTCCAACTAGATCACGTTGCCACCAGCTACCGATAGAGGGTTTCAATAAAGGATTGTCGTTCGTTCTGGAGCACATGTTTAGATCTAGATCATGACCTAGTGCGAGCGCGTATCTGTTTTAGGCTTACTGGACGTAAGAAAGACATCGTAAGAAAGCGTTTAAGGGCTTTACTAAATGATAAAGCTAAAAATATACTTTAGGAGCAACTAGAAAGAGAGTTAGGCAAACATGTAAGTGATTCCCATCCGGAAATAGGTTTGAATAATATCCAAAAGGCTATGGTAATATCAGTGATATCTGCGGACAGCCCTGACGGACACCGCTTGATGTAGAGAATTCCGATAACAGTTCTCCATAGGCTCGCACTCGACCAGTGGTGTTCGAGTAAAGAGCTTGTATAAGGTTAATGTACTTCTTCGGTACACCTTTCAATGGAAGACATTACCACGGAACATGACGATCCACAGAGTCAAATGCCAGGAACAAAACTATTGTAGAACGCCTAAATGAGATTGGGACAATTAGCGACTGAGACCAGTCAGATGGGATTACGTCCAGTTCCCAGATTCTGCCTAAGGTCTTGGTCGATCTAGCTGCTAAAACTGGACCACCATTCTTAAAAGCCTCAGGATTCAATATATCGGGTCCTGTTGCTCTCCCTTGCTTCAGATTTACTAACGCTTCCTCAACTTCACAAATACTAGGGGGACTTACGTCGGTTTGCCATTCAGGATGACTGGAGAACGTGGGTAACCGAAGAGTGGCTCGAGGCCAGTTGAACTGATCCCTTAAGTGTTCTGCCCATCGGTCCAGTCTCCTGGATTGAGAATGGATAATAAGACCATCCTTTTCCGAAATAGTCTCACACACATTTGGGTTCCTTTCATAAAAAGGCCGTGCGTGACCGGCCTCAAGCAGTTGTCCCTTGGGCTCTGCGGTCACGCACCAACACTAATCCATCTTCCTTTTCAAGTCTCTCAAGAAACAACCTTCCACGGTGTGGGCAGCCGGGAAGTGACAACCGCCCTCATACCCGTAACAGCACGCAAGACCAAATTGGTCAAAATCAAGTCCTTCCTACACCCCCTAATGTCTCTCTTATCTCTACGACTAACTCTACTCACACTCCCCTTTCTCACTGCACCGCTAATGCAGACGAAGCGAGATCATGAAACGTCGTTCCTGGTCTCTTGAAACCCCGTTCTAGACTACATGTTGGAGCATTCAATGTACGGACATTGTGTCAAATAGGGGAACAGGCATCATTAGCTAGGACTTTAGAATCTCGTGCCATCGATGTATGCTGCGTCTCGGAAACACGCATACAGGATCCTAGTAAAGTCATTAACCTGATTCCACCTTGTCAAAACGAAGAAGCAGCCCGATTCACTCTTCATGTATCCGGTAGCCCTGATGCTGCTTCCAGGGGTCTTGCTGGCTTAGGCATAGCATTGAGTCCTAGGGCTGAACTATCTCTCCTTGACTGGATCCCAGTAGATAGTCGCTTGTGCGCTGTCCGACTAAACGGGACAGTAAGGACT